GCAGATGAGGAGTTCCTCCTCCTGCTCATTCTAGGCCCTGGCACTGCCTGAATTACCATCCCTGACTCGCAGCAATGGGTGAGTGACAGTTCTCTGCCTGGACAACTATTCATTCAGTGATTACTGAGGACTCATATTTCTCCAAGTTCAAGGCACTTTCTCATCGCCCTGGCCTTAGAAGGGAGCTGATGGTCTGGTCTGTAGGGAGTTGTGCTGTAACACACAGCTGGTGCTTCTTGGGTTCAAATCCACCAGGGACTGTGAAGGAAAGGTGACAATCTCCTCCCACGTGATTTACAGCCTTCTGAAAGCCCGGAGGTTCCAGCTCAGCTCAACAGCAGCGAGGGGGTTAGTTAGAGCCTTGAAGGTGCAGCCCTTTGTCCATCTTTCTGCCTTAGAGACAGAGTTCTCAGCCGGGGCTGATCTCGCCTCCTAGGGCCCACTCGACAGTGTCCAGAGATGTTTACAGTCATCACAATTTGGTGGCAGGAAATATCATGCACATCTAAGTGCCACGGCTGCTATATTGCACAGGATATTTCTTTCCAAAGAGAATTGCCTGGTCCAGTGGGTCAATCCTGCTGAGTTGAGAAGCTCTGCTTTAGAGCTAGTCATCTTCACGGCAGCAAACCAAGAAAGAAATGGAAGCACCCTCCAGGGCCATGCTTCACTGAGAGAAAGCAGAATCCCGCAGGGCGTTTCAGCCATGCTGTGCAGCGGCTGTGCTGTGCACATCGTCTCTGGCTCACAGAGCCTAGGCTGTGTCTACCTAGAGACCATTCTCACCGAGGCTTGCCCATTCAGGGTGCTGCTGCCATATTCCATTCATCTTGGCAAGTCTTGCTCCAGGGATCTGCCCCTTGTGTCCCCGGGAGCCGGACATCCTTGGAGTTAGCTCTTACTTGGCAGAGTTCAAATTCTTTTCCTGAGGTGGTGTGTAGTATCAGAGCAGAGACATCAACTCTGAAATAAGGCTGCTTGGACTTTATTGAGTTTGAACCTTAATAGCAGTGAAAAGGTAAGGAAAATACTTCCGAACTTCCCCAAGGCTCACCCTCTCTAACCTTCAAAGGTTGGAAATGACAGCAGAGTGGTTGAAGGATGGGTGTGAGGGGGGAAGGGAGTCATGTGTGTCGACCACTCAGCACGCCGCCTGACAGAAAGCCTGCTGTCCATTTCACACGCTCCCCCCTCTGCTCGGGAGTCCATGGTGCCTTGTGCACTAGCTGGTGGGACTCTGACTAGGTAGTGGTCCTAGGATTAGGCAGTCTCCTCCTGTGTGATTTACTGCCTCTGAAAACCCACTGGAGGGTCAGCTATGACCTGACAGCACACAACATCATCATGTCCCAAGAGGCAACATTACCATCAATGAAGGCAGACAAGGTAGACCTGGTCAAGGAATTCCTGTTGCTTGAGTCGACAACAATCACTACAGTGTCAGCGCTCCAGAACTCAAAAGACACTGTGCACAGAGGAACTCTATTGCCAAGAACCTCTCCAAACTGTCAACGAACAAGGATGTCAGTTAGGAGACGAAGGTGCACCGGATGCAAGTTATGATATTTTCAAATACATCTTATGGAAGGTGGATGAAGAGAAAGGAAGGCCAGAAAAATGAAGCCTTTGAAGTGTGCTTTTGTTGAAGAGCACTGAAGAGCCTTCAGAACGGCACAAAACGGAAAACATCTCTCTTGGAGGAAGTTTGACCAGGGAGCTCTGTAGAGGCGGTGATGGTGAAACTTCGTATCCTGTGCTTTGGGCGTGCTGTCAGATGGATCGAATTCTTGGGAAAAGACACAGTACTGGGAAAGACGGAGGGTTAGAGAAGGAATGGAAGAACTTCACTGAGATAAGTCGACGCAGAGCCTGTAACAACAGAGACATCAGAGACGGTGAGGGAGATGCAGGGTAGCACAAAGTGAAATCAGTTGTTCCTAAAGTTGCAATGGGTTATAAATGGACCTGGCAGCATCCAGCCACAAGAACAAATCATGTCATCAATGGAAATATATCCTGCTAAGGACCTCATCTAAAATGCCAAAGAGCAAGGATGTCACTTTGAGGACTAAGGTGTGCCTGCCCCACACCAGCGCATTTCTAATTCATGTGCATATGGAAGGTGGACAATAAATAAGGAAGACCAGTGAAGAGCTTATGCCTCTGAATTGTGGTGTTGGGGTTATCATGGACTTTAATAAAATAACCAAGTCTAAGAAGAAATAGAATAAGAGTTCTCCTTATAGATAAGGAGTCTGAAACGGTCTCATATATTATGGGCATCTTATCCAAAGGGACCAGACCCTGGGAAAGGGCACCACACTTAGAAAAGCAAAAAGTTATCAAAATAGAGGAAGCCCCTCAGTGAGATGGGCTGGCACAGCGATGACACAGTGTACTCAGCACAGCAGAGATTAGGAGGGCGGGACACAGCACCATGAGGTTGCTGGGAGTCAGAGCTGAACCAATGGCGTCTATCATGCCTCAACTTTGTCATCTGTACATTGGGGTCAATAGAAGCTCTCTTGTGAGGTTGTTGAAGTCTTCTGTGGCACAAAGCTTAAACATGTGGCTAAAATGGAAAGAACTGGTGGTTGAAGTCCACTAAGGGGCACCTCCGGAGAACTCTGGGGAATCTGAGTCAGGAAAGCCGTGAGTGCAGCTCTGCTCTGACACACACGGGTCACCAAGCTGGAGCTGACTCAAATGCAATCCAAAGGCAGTCTGCAGGGTTTGCAGAAGGATTTCTAAATGGACGCAGGCAGGGGAGCTGGAAGATGCCTGACACAGAGAGCTCCAGACAAACGCAGTTGCTGTCTTCTTCCTTCCTCTTCTGCTCTAGTGTCCTCTCAAATGAGCACATAGTTCTCTTTTTTTCCCAGAGGATCAAATTGTTCTTGCAGGTGGTAAAAATTTCAAAAGACCTGAATTACCACAAGAAAAAAGTATTAATTGTCAGAAATCAACCAACAATGCAGGGTGGGAGACAGCCCCTCAGCTGGAAGTCCCAGGCAGGGCAGCCTAGTACCTACCCTTTTGTCTGGGAACCAGGGCACCTGTAGCCTCACCTCAACTTACTTCTCTCTGTGGAGAACAGGTCCCACCAGGTGGCCCCATTCGTTGATTCCCATAACCTTTAGAAAAACTGGACATGCATTGATTACACACGATGTGGAATAATTCCCCATCTGGCACATATTTGAATTCTAAATTTGGATTTGTGAGTTTCCAGGGGAATCACGTTCTGGCTCCCACGACCATGGGTGTTAAGGACCAACCTGGAGGTATAAATACCTGTCTGGGAGACACCTTCCTCCAGTTCCCCAGCCCTGATCCAGTGAGCAACCATGAAGACCTTAATCATCCTCGCTCTCTTGGGAGCTGCAGGTGAGTCATTTCAGGGGATCAGACAGTGTCTGTCACAGGTGTCTGTGTTGCAGGAGACAATGGCCATTAAACACAGCCTCTGTGGTCAAGGATCCTGGCGTGTCATAACAGAAGGGTCCCCTAGATAAACTTGTGCTTTCTCAGCCCTCACTTGGGGTACAAGTGCTGCATGCAGGTCACAGGGTTACCAGATGGAAGCTGAGCTGGATTAAAACTTCAAAGGCCAAGTCGAAGTTGGGAAAAAGGGAAGTGAGGAAAGGGAGTCCACCGTGCCCCCAAGGATGAGTGTTAGTAGACAGTAATAGCACTGACAGCACTAGATAAGAGCGTTGGCCACCGGCCGCCTCCAGGTCGTGGCACACAGCAGAACCATACTCCATGGCGAGGTCAGCGACTGAGCGGTCAGAAGCGGATCAGCAGCTGCTTCTTCCAAGGTGGACTCGAGATACCACTTTTTTCACTTAGTAGTTATGTAATTAACCTTTTGCATCAGAAATTTTTGCTAAGTTCTTGCTCCTTGAAGTGTCTACTAGTTTCAGGGCCCAAGTCTCTCTGTGAATGAGCTAAGGAACTTTATGAAAAAGAGACATTTTTAGTTTCTCCTCAAAAACTGTCTTTCTTGGCCTGGGGCAGGGGGAAGGGGAAGAGATACATTATACATCACAAATAAAACTCTGGGCTTGTGGGCAAATGTGCATCATTGCCAGTGAAGCATTCCTGGTATGAGATAGTATGTTGTTCTAATCATGAAAAGAATTGGAGAAAGAAACTTGATTTCTATTTTAGATGACTAAACTTTGTACTAGAGAAACAGAATGCTAAATATTCCCAACGTAGGCAAATGTGCACTTAGTACATCGATTTAGATACCCAAGACGCTTTTCCTAAAACGACTTTAAAGCACTTCAGAAATTGTTGTTGTTGATTGCTGTTGAGCTGAGCACAAATTATAGCAACCCGATGAATGAAAGAACTGAAGTCTTTCTACAACTATCGTCGTTTCTCCAAGTTAATAGAGTTTCCAGAGACAAGTAGGGCTTGTATAAATAATCAAACAGTAAGGGGGGGGGAATCACAGAGTAGCAAGCAATTGTGATGAATTTGGGGGTCACTCTTTGCAATTCTTCTGCATTCATCTCATTGATAAGTGTTGTGAGGATGGGGTCACTGGGGAAGTGGGAAGTGGAGGAGAGAGCCCCGACAGTATTTTATGACATAGCTTTCTGAAACTTTACACTTTTTAAAACAAGAAAAAAAGTTTGGAGAACAAAACTGCAAAACTTCTCTTTTCCCTCCAGGCCAGAGTATCATCAAATGACTTCTAAGGGGCCATGTCCCTATACCTCTGTGGACTTCCCCCCCAAATAAAAAGGCCTGTAATAGTGCAGAGCTTTAGTGATGACTTTCGTTTGTTTGTTGTGCTGTGAGGGGAAAAAAAGAATGCTTTGTGTCTTGAGGTAGTTGTGTGAGGGATCTGTGATACTGTGCATCTGGGCCACATGTCAGAACAACTCACAACCAGCTTTACCGTACAGGAAATAGAAATACTTCATCATAATATAGGTACCAAAGTGAAGAGGTGTACCAAAGATATAGAACAGTGAGATTTTAAAAAACCAATGCCTGCTTTCTCGTTAAGCAGGATAGGAAAACATTTCCTGCGCTTTTCTAGTTATCCTGCAAGAAATCGAATGTTGGGTACAGACTTTTCTAGAAGGGTCTAACAAATAGCTACCAACTTTCTCCCCATCAGCCGCTTTCTCCACTGATGATGATGACAAGATCGTCGGGGGCTACACCTGCCAGGCCAACTCTGTGCCTTACCAGGTGTCCCTGAACTCCGGCTACCACTTCTGCGGCGGCTCCCTCATCAACAGCCAGTGGGTGGTGTCCGCAGCTCACTGCTACAAGTCGTAAGTACTTGTGCTTGGTGAGAAATAATGCATCGCACAGTCTTGGCAGAACTGAGAAGCCATTTAGAGAAAGGCCTGAGGGGTGAACCGCTAAGCTTCTAAGAGTCCACAGAGCTCAGGCAATGGACAGTAGAGCACAGAAAACACATACATGCATTTCAGGCACAATTTTAAAAACACACCTGACTGCGCATACCACCTCTGATGCTTGTCTCATTTCCCTGAAATAATCAATAATCTAACAGGAGAGAGGACAAATTCTGTCCAGCCGACCATCAGTGTCCTTTCCTCTCCAAGTCCTTATCAAGGCCAGTCTCGTGCTGTCCCACACGTGTCTGCTCCAGCAAGGGGGGAAGTTGGGAGGCTGTGCTTGTGTCACTCTAGGGACAAAATTAAAGTCACGATGTCCACCTGGGTGTGCGTCACCCTGAGAGTGAAACGCAAGTGCCATGCCATCTCTACTTGTGGTCACCACAGTGAAGGGGGACACAGAGGGACTCCAAGAAGGTAACTGACAGCTGTTCAATCGTTTAACCAGCCGAATCCAGGTGCGTCTCGGAGAACACAACATTGAGGTCCTGGAGGGCAACGAGCAGTTCATCAACTCAGCCAAGGTCATCCGCCACCCCCAGTACAGCTCTTCCAAACTTGACAATGACATTATGCTCATCAAGCTGAACACTCCAGCTACCATCAGCTCTCGCGTGTCCACCATCTCTCTGCCAACTTCCTGTGCTGCTACTGGCACCCAGTGCCTCATCTCTGGCTGGGGCAACACCCTGAGCAGTGGCAGTAAGTGACCCCACCTGAAATTGCCCAGAGTGAAAGTCCTAGGGGGCAGGCTGCTGGGGGTCAGTTAGACCAGGCTGTCACTCAACACACATTCCCGCAGGACTATCAGTGGGCGGACGGAGGCCTAGAATAAAGTCACGGAATGAATGAGGTCCGTTTGCTGGGAACAAACAGAAGACACACAACAATAATGACCCGTAATAAAGATGCCAAAGTGGTCAATAAAGGATGATTAGCGAAGCTGAGAGAAGGAGAACTGGTCAAGAAACAGAACAGAGACCGCAGGGTTGGTCCTGCCTGCAGCGCAGACCTACCGGAGAGTCGGTCCTGAGGTCTGTGCTCACCGAGGATCCTGTCTGAGAGACAACAGCTTGCAGACAGAATCTTCCGGGAGAGTGTTGTTTCCTCAAGTAGAAGCCACTGCAGTTTGAGAGGAAGCGTAGTGAGTGTTGGGAAGGAGTGGGAAGGAGTTCCAGGATCCTGTGGGTAATCTCCTTCTGTTTTCCCCTCGTGCCCACCAGCCAACTACCCTGAGCTGCTGCAGTGTCTGAAGGCACCTGTCCTCTCTGACGCCCAGTGCAAGGCAGCCTACCCAGGCCAGATCACCAGCAACATGATCTGCCTGGGCTTCCTGGAGGGCGGCAAGGACTCTTGCCAGGTTCGGCTCTCTCTTCCTTCTCCTCCCAGCTCTGCCTTCCCTCGTCACATCTTTTCCCACTTTTCTGTAAGGAGGACTCTTTCTAAGAAATGAGGGACAGCTGTAGTGCATCGCAGGCTTTCTTTAGATGAGTATTAATGGGGAAGCCACTCAGCGCGAGCTGTTTCAGGGGGCCCTTTGCAGGTGCACTGTGGACGGAGGAAGCCTGCGGAAGGAGCAGGGCTACGTGGCCGAGGTGGTATCTCCCTCATCATCGCCCTAGGCCTTAGAGGCCAACTGCTCCTGACAGAGAGGAGACTAGAAGCAGGGGAGGAAGGGTGGAGGTGGAGCCTGGAGACTGAAGGTTGGGTTTCTAGAGCAAACAGAAGGCGCTTTGTGGAGGAGTGCAGTCTGGGAAGCTGGTCCCATGGAAAGGGAGGTCTGTGCGGGGCCATCCTCCCACCTCCACCTGGACCCAAGTGTCACTCCTGACTGTCCCTTCCCTCTTTCTCAGGGTGACTCTGGTGGCCCCGTGGTCTGCAATGGGCAGCTCCAGGGCATCGTCTCCTGGGGCTACGGCTGTGCTCAGAAGGGAAAACCTGGTGTCTACACCAAGGTGTGCAACTACGTGAACTGGATTACTCAGACCATTGCTGCCAACTAGACACCTCCCCTGGACCTCCAGGACCTCCTCCTCCTCAGGGTCAGCCTCTTATTCCTCTCCTGACTGAATGAAATATCAAAATAAAATATTCCATTATATATCATGTTTGTACAACAGAAATTCTTGCTTTAATTTCTTTGGTTTGGTTCTCTAGAGAAGTAAATGCAATCAAACACTTGTTGTTATTGTGTGGTTCTGACAAGTCAGCTCTTCCCCATAGTGGTCGTGATCCTGTGGTCATCAGGGGTGAGCCTCGCCAGTTTTGGGGACATGTCAACTTCCCTTCAGCAGCTCCACTCTGCTTATTTGCTTGAGCCCGTAGTTATAATCACTGTCGTCACCCGTTTTGTTGAGTATCTTCCTCACTTCCTCTGTCCCTGCACCTTTCCCAGAATGCTATCTTTTTCCAAGGACTGGTCCCTCCTGAAATTACACCCCAAGTATGTGCACTGACATTTGTCCTTTGCTCCCTTGTTGGAGCACCCTGGCGAGCTTCCTCTAAGACAGACTTGTTTATTCACTTGGCAGTTCATGGATATTCAGACACAGCACTACAAGTTAAAAACACTGACTTCTGTCATTGTTCAACTCTCAGATGCAGTGGAAGCATTTGAAGAAACTATGGCGTAGATCAGGCTCACCTAAGTCTTTAAGCGGACATCGTTGCTCTTTAACACTGTAGAGGGCCCTTGACAGCAGATTTCCTAATGCAGCTATCATGGGCATTGATTGTAGATCCAAGTGAAAGGAAATCATTTAGAAATTAAATCCTTTTTATGTTGTTGTTGTTGTTGTTGTTCTGTGGGACTCATAGCAACCCTATGTACAACCACCCTAAAACCTACTCTGTCCTATGCCAATCTTATTGTCTCTGATACTCCTACCCCCATTACCTCAGTCACTGAATCAATCCACCCCATCAAGGATCTTCCTTTCTTATCGTGTCCCTCCACCCTCCCAAGCATGATGTCCCACTCCAAGGACTGGTCCCTCCTTGCAGTATGTCCAAAGTGTGTCAGACGAAGCTTCAGAATCCTTGCCTCCATGGAGCAGCCTGGTTTCATCCTCTCTAGGATGAACCTGTTTGTTCTCCTAGCAGTCCATGGTATGTTTAGTACTCTTCTCCAACACCACAGCTCAAAGGCATCAATTCTCCTATCATCCCTAATCATTGTCCAGCTTTCTGATGCATAGCAAGTAATTGCAAAAACTATGGCCTGGATCAGGTGCACCTTAGTCTCCAGACTGACATCGTAGCTCTTCAGTGCTTTGGAGAGGTCTCTGACAGCAGACTTTCTCAATGCAATTCATCTTTTCATTTCTTGGCTGCTGGTAACAAGAATGTTGGTTGTGGAGCCAAGCAAACTGAAGCTGTTGACAATCTCAGTCTCCTCACCATCTATCATGATCCTGCCAATCATCTCAGTGGTGAGAATCTTTGTTTTCTGGATATTGAGCTTCAATCCATATTGAAGGCTGCAGTCCTTGACCTTCTGTAGCAAGTGCTTCCGGTTCTCCTCAGTTTCAGCAAGCAGGGTTGCGTCATCTACATAACAGATTATTGATGAGTATACCTCCAAACCTGATGCCATGTCCAGCCTCACAGATGATCTGTTCTGCAAAAAGATTAAAAGGTATGGAGATAGGGCACATCCCTGTTGTACACCCTTCCCAATATTGAACCGTGCAGTGTTTCTTTGCTCTGATGACTGTCTCCTGGTGCAAGCATAGCAAGTTTTTATTAACAAGAAGGGCTTCCCTTAATTCACTCAACTTACTTTTTTTCAATATTAAATGGGATAAGATGTTCAATAAGCCCATGTGTTTGTTAGTTTACAGTCTAGTCCAGTTTTGGCTTCTGAGTGCAAATGCTTGCTTATATTTGTATTTTAGTAGGCCAAAGTCAAATTATTACCTATTTTTAAAAGGTAACTATGTTTGAAATACTTTTATCATTAGGACATTACAACTTTTCTAGTACAATTTACAGAAATTACACAAAACAACTTTAACAAACCACAGTATTGAGCAATGTTTTTTGTTTAGCTGAAATGTTCATTTCAGTTGTAAAAACCACCTCTAGGTACAAAAATAATCAGAAACCTTATTGGATTTTACTTGCTTTTACAAATATCCTACAAAATCTTAAGCTAAATATTATTTTCAATATAAAACCCCAATAATTTTTTAATAACTTCGCACCCAGTCTCATTAGGTCTCTCTAACTAGGGAACCAGCCTAGTTCACACATTAAGTGTCATTAACAAATAGAGATCTAACCAATCACTTTGTAACAGGAACAAGGCAACCAACAGTTTCAATCATTGGAGACTTTAGTGCTGACACATTAGTGTCTCTGCTACAAAGTATGAGAGCAAATACAGTTATTGGATTGCTTTCTGACTGTAGCTGTGGCCACCCCAACAAGGATTTTACCTAAAGGAAAGCTACAGAACGATTCAATCAGGTACAATCAGCCTTAACTGGGGCCAATCATTCTGAGTCCCCCCGCCCCCGCTTTCTTTATTTTCCCCCACCACTTCCTACACCCTGCACCGGTGCTGTATTATTAAAAACATTAGATGCCTGCAGTTTATGCTTCAGATCAAGAGAGTGTTTTAGTAATTTTCAACAACGTACAGCTCTTGTGTAGAAAAAAAAGTTTTGTGGTGACAGTTGCATTAAAAAAGTCATACTATTTAAGCAACGTGACACATCAGGTATTAGCAATCACAGAGCTAAACTTTCATTAAAATTAATAATCAAAAGCAACTATATTTTAAAACTTTTTATTTTAGGTATACACAGAACTCTATTCAACATAAGGCTGAGTTGTCAAGTGCCGTCAGGGCAGTTCGGCCTCCTAGACACCCAGCACAGAGCAGAAGATCTTGTTGTCTGGTTCTAGCCGTGCTCAGCGCCCATTGCAGCAGCCCTGTGTCCGTGAATCACCTTGAGGGCTTTCCATTTTCTGCTCACTCTTTGTTTTACCGAGTGTGACATGTAAGGAGTGCCTTTTAACAAGAGGGGCTCATCTGGCACTGTGTGCACTGTGTCCACTGTGTCAGAAAGTGATCCATTGCTATTCACAAAGGTTTCCGTGACCAGTTGTCTCAGCTGTAGACCTCCCAGTCCTTCTTCCTGGTCCACCTGAGGCTGCGTGCTCTACTGAGCCTCGTGAAACACCAGTGAAGTCATTTCTAGCATCACCAGACACACAGGCCACCAGAGCACAGCAGAGACCTGAATACTAGGATTCAGGCGCACATCAACCTACCGGTGAGTGAGTTAGAACTGAGGGGGCGGGAGAGGGAAGGCCAACAGTGTGTATTTGAGAATCCAGCCAGTGAGGGGTGGGAACTCCTTGGTTTGAGAGCTCAGGAGCCCTGACAAAGTCTGAGCAATGGTGAGGAGATTGCATGGCACTGCTGCGTGCAGATGTGCTGTCCAGGGCTACGGAAGGACAGAGGCGTGGGCGTGGGTGTTCAGAGTGTCCTCCTGACATTTCTGCCTTTCCATTATCATGGGCACTGAAAATTGTTCCCTTCCCGATCGTACTCCACCCTCTCCATGCTCCGACCCCTTATGTCGTTTCCCTTGCCCTGAATCAGATCACTCCAGGTGTCCAAAGGGAGAGGAACCTCATGACATGTTCAATGGAGCACACAGGACTCATGTGCAGGAAACCACACTATGAGGGTGTGTGTGTGTCTGAGTTACAGTCACTGTGTTGTGTCCTCTTGTTTCCTCATCATCTTTTTTTCCGGCCAAACATGACATTATAACGTGAGTGCATGTCAGGATGTGAGGCTCATCGAGCACTATCTAACACAATGTTCTGCTACTGTTTCTAAAGTTTTCAGGCACTAATTCAGTAAAGCTTCATGTCCCTCTGCCGGTCTGTCTTAGTCTGCACGCCCTGTAGAAACACCAGTGGAAGATCCCTGGGGCAAGGTGGGCAGAGAGGGAGGTCGGATGATCAGGAGCATGGTCTGTGACACACTCCAGAAAATGCACAAGAGAGCAAAAGATACCGTTCCAGCCAAGATCTTCACTACTGTAAACGGCTTACTGCCTCTGTAAACTAGTTTACACTTGTACCACTGCTTTGGGTTTTTGTAGTTTAAATTAGTCCATTATCAGTGGTAAACTTTGGGGGTTCAAATGGTGGGAGGAGGAGTTTAGGTTCTCCTCACATATATGTACGTGTCCCTGTCAGCAGACAGTACTTGTACAAACAGGAAGGTAAGTGAAGACTTAGAGATGCATGAAAGCCTGTGGTATTGTGTACGTAGGAGTGCCCTGGTCACTTAGCTCCAGGTGCTTTGAAGAGGAAGGAGCGGGATAGTCTCTGCACCACAGTAGCGGTGCCAATAACTTAGGAATAAGGACAGGGGTTACTGTCAGCATGCCACAAAGCTAACTAGCTAGTCAGTTTTTAATGATCTGTGTTTTAATGTCATCATCTCTTTAAAGATGTGATGGCAACAGAAAGTTCGAACCTAATTCGCCTCGATATGCTCAGTGTTGAGGGTCTCCGGTGTCCGGTCAGTGGGGAATTGCACGGATTACCCTAAGTTGATGCCACTCTGGCAGTTAGAAAGTCACCAGCTCCCCGGGAGAACGATGAGCCCCCTGGGACTCACATTCTCAGAACACCCACTGGAGGGTCAGTGCTGAGCTGGTTCCAACTCAAATACAATGAGCTAGAGGTTTGAGTTTGTCCTTAATGTCGGAGTCTGACAGATCACAGTCCTGGGATAAAACTGTGTCCCCCTCAAATTCTGTGCTGTGATTGAGTTTTGAAGTTGTTTCTCCTCACAAAATGAGAAAGGAGAACTGAAGGCATCTTACTGAAGAAGTGCAAATACCTCACCTCCCCTTGCTTCTGACTCCTCTCTTCATAAGAAACGACTCTAGGAAATCAATAGCAACTGTTTACTCTAGTTACACACAGGTGCTCCTCAAAGGCCCCACCTGTTCTCCACTGAAGAGTCTCT